TTATTTTCAACCACTAAACTTCCAAACTGTCGCAAATTAAGAATCTTGTTGGCGGTTGAGCCGCGGTTTTACACCACTTCTTATTATGGCCTAAAAAAATGTATTACTTTTGTTCGCCTATTTAGTTGATAATCGATCAACTAGAGAACAGCGATAGTTACACGGCTGACCTCACATGTTCAAATGCATTGCATTCAATTAAAACTTAAAGGCCTAAGGCGTCCTAAAAAGATCGTAAAAGAATTTTTAGTAATATTACCTTCAAACATTTTAATAACCAAATAATAATTATTATTTGTTTAAATTTATAACATGTTAATCAATTAATATAAAGCATATAAAGACTTTTGTCTCTTTCGTTTGAGTTTCTTTTGTGCAAGAGCTCAGTATTGCTCGAAGAAAGTAGATATTAATTAGTTAAGATTCGACTAGAAATTCACATACTATTTTATAAACCTAACCTAACCAATAGCTTCTCAAACCGTAACTTTCTAATATATTGGCTTCTGATATAGATTTTATTTTGTACAAAAATTTCAGTAAATCATTCTAGATAAATATATAGTTTTCAATATCCTTAATTTCGAGTTAAGTTCTTGGTTCTAATTGAACTTAACATCCTTCAACAATCTTTAAACGAAACTCTGAGATCCTTCGACGTAAGGTATCTTTACTTTTTAATTCCCAAAAATATATTTGAAAACATTGTTAAAACTTGCCTATTACCGCTATGGAATATAAATATATTGCTTACTACTTATAATGGTTATAAGTTTGTCCCGTATTTCTTTAGGTGATATGTGAGGTTGGAAAATGCACGCAGATAAAAATACTACTACACTCCACTTCCCTTCCCATTCTAATTTTTAAGCTCTTATAACTTCAAAAATAGTTATCCGAAACTGGTTATCGACCAGTCGAAATTTGTAATACATTATTCTCTATTTAAAAAGGTAATAAAATATGTACGTTACCATCTCAGATACAAAATTTGCTATCAAAAAATTTAAGTTGGGAGGGATGTCAAAACAAAAAAAAAATTAAAAATTGAGATCACATTGTATAAAAACAAAATGAAAAAATTAATTTAATTATTAATTAAACCCAGTGGGATACTAGCTGGTTCATGATAATGTTTGATAAGTAGTTTCTGTCAATTACAAACAATTGCTTATTGTCATATTGTCGGGAATCGGTGATTTATTAATCACCCATGCTAACCGAAACCCATAATAACCGAATCAAGCAATGTTCATGCGCGTCACAGCATGCATTTAGAACTACGCTCCCTAAAACTGCAATCATTTTGAGAAATTTGCAATTTTCAGATTTTTTCCTTTAGTTATACTATTAGTTACACTATAAGACCTACCTTTGTGCCAAACGTTACGTGTCTGCCTACACAGAAAGTGTTTTATAATTTTGATGATGAGTGAGGAGTCAGTCAGTAACAAAAATAAAAACTTTAAAATTGTTCCTCTTTGACAAGGCTTAATATTCAGGCTCAAATTTTTACAATATCTTAAGCTACTCAAACTCTTAAACTACTCTATGTTTCACATTTCAAAAGCTCATCTTAAGAGAAACCAGATTTAAGCGGGTTAAAAAAACTGGGTAATTGGTTCGTGTAAAGATACACTGGCATTGCTGGAACTTAGGCTGACGCACTGCCAGGCGATCAGACAGTAGTAAACAAGTGTAGTTGCCTTAGCGAGCTCTGCGTTGGCCGAATGAACTCACCTAAAATACAAACTCTTTAACACATTTTTTTTGGTCATTAAAATTATAGTTTTTTTTTTAAACAAATGACTACCAACTCAGTCTTTTTAGAATTAGCTTGTCAATTAACTAAAAAAGTATAATAGAAAAATGTAAACATTCCCTACTGGGAAATTTTCAATAACACGCTGATTTCTAACGTTAATTAAAAAAACAGTTTCAAGTTTTTTTTGGTATAACAAATGTAGCTTAATTAAAAAAATATTAGTGTTATGCTCGCTTGGTTCTAAGTCGATAAAGAATAAGGGTAGTGCCGCAGTGGTAATTTAGTTCGACCCTATAGTACATTTACTACTTGTAGAGCGTTGAAACCAAGAAATGATAACTCTTGTTTTATATCGTCAATCGGAGTGGTATGATGTAGGTCTCGAAAAACCACTGTAAACGGTTTGTCTTGTTGCATTTGGAAAGTATGAAAATCAACATTTTCTTTTATAAATACACTCACAATTTTACGGTAGTCGTCTGATAAGTTGGTTTGTAGTTTAAGCCTTTAATAATGCTTTTACAACTAAACTCCTTCGAAACGACTGTCTTTTGAACAGCTCCGCAAAAGCCTTAATCTTTAAATATGATTTATGAATATTGGTGGGGGGGGTTGGTTTTTTTGGATCTAGTGAATCACTAGTTTGTTCGATTTCCATGTTAATATTATTATCAATACTTGTGTTGATTAAGTTGTCGGAGGTTATTTGTTGTGTTCATTTGTTTTACTTGCAGAGGACCGCTGGCCGACGTATTTTTTTTTCCCCTGTTATTTGAAATGTTTGTTGACCAGTCGGTAAAAGAAATAATGAATGTAAATTTTATGTAAAAATTAAGATTACAATCAATGATAAAAAAAACAACTGACATAAAATATACACTAAATTAAATTTAAGGAAAAATGTATAAAAGGAACCAGAGTATCAGAATAGTACTATTTGTGTTTTAAACATACATCAGTGAATCCATAATATCATCATAAATTACACACTGTATAGCTATATAAGTTCATCAGCAACCAAAATTATGAACTTTCCATTTCAACAGGTAAGTTTCACTACCAAAATTAAAAACATTTTATTGATTTTGTACTTTATGTAGTTATTCTTTACAAGACACTTAAGTTGGCATTAAATATCTTCTGTTAAAACCATTTTTTTTTTAAAGAGTTTCATTGCCTCAAATATTATATTTTTTATATTATTCAAGGATTAAAGTTTAAACTTAAGACGTATAGAAAGATTATTATTACCTTAAGCAATACTCAACGAAACGTCAAATTTTTAAAATTATAGCAATCATTTCACGCTTTAGGTCACTTTCTTAAATACACAATGTTAAAATATATATTTTTGGTATTATATTTAAATTTTATTGTGCCAATAAACATTGTAAGTTAGCTCAAAATGTTAGACAAAGGACATATTTTGAGACACTATAAGTTTTTTTGACTTTTAGATGTTAGGTGTTATTTTATAACGCTTAACTCTTACCAGTAGTTTTAACTTATTGTAACTTTTTAAATTTAAACCGGAACCTCTATATTTTTTGGGATATTATTTAAGTAAATAATATTTTAAACCCAAAAATGTTAAACGACTTTTTAATAACATACTGTTCAAAAGTTTTTGTTAGTGCTCTATACAGAAGCATTTTTAGGAATATTCAAATCAGATAATAACTATAATCAGATAATCAGATTATAATTTAAAATGTAATATGTTTTGAAAACATGTACTATTTTGTGATTTTTAAAATAAGAATTCAAATGGAATACTAACTTTAATTTAGTGTACAAACACACAATAGCAAATATAAAAGAATGACATAAAAAATTAATCACAATTGTGTATGTTTAGCTGAATATTATTAAACTATATTTTTTAGTACAAAAATATACCTTTTAAAATGTAATCAGTTGATAAAATAGTTTATCACATATGCACACTATTGTTTAATAGTAATAATATTTTGTAACAGGTAACCCTGAATCAGCAAGCTCGACCGTATCAAATTATATTTATAGCTATAAATGCTAAGTGTCTGTCTAGGCGAAGAAAGTCTTATTACCTTTAATCATTTCTACCGTCTTCTTCTTTACTGCAATGTATTAAAATAGTTAATATTTATAATATATTTAAATTGATTGGAGCCATAAAAAAAATTTTAAGTTAAAAAATTCCAATTCATACTTCGCTTAATTTACAGATATATTCTGTGAGCTATTTTTAATACATTTTACATAATATATACAAACTAAAGTAAAACGCAACGAAACTCGGTAAATGTCGAAAAGTCGGTGATCTGTAGATATGAATCGCTGGTCAACCAGACTATCACAAAACATTTGATTGTGTTTGGTTACCTGTACTCACCTATCGGACAATGCGATCATAAATAAGTATTTTATTGGCTCCCGGTCTTCGGAAACCAAAGAAATGTAATAATATTTAAGAGAAAATTTAATATCTTTACAAAGTCATAGCTAACGACTCGATGGATAAAAATAAAAAATTCAAACGATAACATAATTTAAAAATTTTTGCCCACAAATTTATGGAATTATAAACATATGTTGCCATTTGAAAACGTGAACTAAACCCTTTTTATCGTATAAAGGATGGAGATAAACATTTTCAAAGTATTGAAAAACATAGTAAAACGTTTATCAAAAAGTATAGGAAAAAAATAGTTTTCAAAATATTCATATTTCCGAGAAAATGATGTCTTACGTTAGTTGGATGACCCGGTACAAATGATATCGATATGTAAGTTTATTAAGATATTATAAGGAACCAATTTATGAGAAATTTACTATTTGTGTTTCAAACAGTGAAACAATAATACCATTATATGAATAATACATTTGGCTAATTTTATTACTCTCTTTGTATTCTAAAATAATGCTTATCTTTCGAAAATCCGAAAAGTCATAAAAGTTGTTGTTTGAAAACAGTAGTATAATTAAGAATGTTTCAAAGTCGTTATGTGCAATAAATCATACAAAAACGTGGGAAAAAAAAACAATTTTTTACAGGCAATAATTAAATATGGAAATATGATTGAAGCGTAATTTAATAAGGTACGCTAATTTAAATTCAAATAAAAACATATAAAAGGAACCAAAATGTCAGAAATTTACTATTTGGGTTTTAAACTTCCACCAGTGAAATCAAAATATCATCACAGAGTACATAGTATTATTTTACTGTATTATATTGTCGGCTTCCAAAAACATGATGCTTTTATTTCAACAAGTAAGTTTCACTATCAACTTAATGTTTGAGTGCTTTAAGTAGTTAACCTTTATTAGAAACTAATTTTAGCGTTAAATAAAATCTGTTCAATTAAAAACCTTAATTTTTTTACAGTTACGTGGTTTATTGCCACACATAGTATATCATCAATAGTATTTTAGTATTAAAGTTTAAACTTAAGATGGGTAGAAAGATGGAGTAAAGTATTATAACTATCTGTACCGAACCTGTAAGCAATACTCGAAGAAACTCCACCTCTCGAAATTTTAAAATAAAATAACTTAAAAAACAATTATTTAAAGCTGGTGGTCGACCATTACAGAAGTTTAATTTAAAAAATATGTATATAAGGAACCTAATTATGAGAATTTTACTATTTGTATTTCAAACTGATAACAGTGAAACGATTATATCATTAAAAAGTACATAATGTTATTTTACTTTATACCTATATAATTTCATTCCATATCAACCATATCATTCCTTTGGTCTCTTCCTTGAATACACAATGATAAAATATGTTTTATTTATATTATATTTAGATTGACTTGAGCAATAAAAAATTGTAAGTTAAATATTTTCAATTCATATTTTTCTTAAATTTCAGATTTATTATATGAGTTATTTTCAATCCATTATACTTACACTTGTATTAGTTACAACGATAGTAATTTTTCTAACAAAAAAAATACAAAGACAAATTACTTTGGCTGCTCAAATACCTGGTCCAAAAGGTCATTTTATTGTTGGAATTCCAACGATTGCAACTCGAGGACCAGAAAAGTTATTAGAAAATATGAATTTGTTATGCATGAAGTAAGTTATCGTGAATAAGCATGTAAAGTTTTGTGGTATATTGTTGTCTAATTACTGAAAACATTTTAAAGCTAATATACAATTAATACGGGTGTAATCTAATTTGTTAAATATTATAAAGACAACATAGCAAAACCAGCTTATAATTATGCAAGAAGTTAATACTTGTATTTAACATGCCTTTATTTTGTGGAATATAAGCCTTAAGCCAAACAAAAACCAAATTTCGAGATAATTAACAATTTTAACTAATACCCATAAAATTACATGAGAATCACATACATGCTCCAGAACGTTAAGTTAGAAACTATTCATATAAATACAATCAGTCAATCCTTGACTGTTATTATTTTGTGAATTATTTAAATTTGTAACATAAGTACTTATCGACGAAATTTAAAACAAGTTCATTATGTTTAAGGTACAAGTATTCATTATTTAAATTTTGGTTTTTTAACAAGCTGATTGTTTGTATATCTAACGCCGAAGATATGGAAGAAGTAATGAAAAGTTTAAATTGTTTTCAAAAGGATACACCTTATCCGGTAATTGAAGATGTTTTCTCGGTTAAGGGGGTACTTACAACTAATAATGTACATGACTATAAAAAAAACAGGTAAATTATTGTTATATATAGTACCTATAATATTATGATTATAGATATTTTGTAAGAAACTAATAAAAAAAAATGTTCCTATTTAAAAAAGATGAATAATTTATTAATAAAACGTACGTTATTTAGGAAAATAATATCGCAATGGTTAAAGTATTCAAATTTAAAATCAATGATAACTTCTTTCTACGATGAATCCAAAATTCTTGCACACATATTGAGTGAAAAGAGTAAAGGAAAGCCATTTGAACTTGAAATAGGCCGCCTTTTCGACCTAGCGTCGATGGACACTATTGGGAGAACAGCGCTGGGAGAAGAATTTAACTCACAAAACAAAGAAAACCATGATTTCCAAAAAAGTTATGAACGTATAGCAAAAGTAAAACTTTTTTTTTCCTTCATTTTTATAGTAACAGAAGAACATTACACGAAACTAAGAATATAATATCCGCTAAGAAGTTAATTGTTTTTACTTTTTAATTACAGATGTTTGCATACAGACTTTCGAACCCATGGTTTTTAATTTCGACTTTATTTTCACTGTCATCGAAAAAACATGAACAACGAAATAGTCAACATTTAATGCATAAATTTGTTAATGACTTAATTCAGAAAAAACAAGTCGAACTCAATGAAAAAGCGAAAACTACAATTATTGGGAGTTATGACACAGATTGTGTTTCTCAAAAACCTAAATCTTTAATTGAAATTCTATTAGCAAGCGAACAACAAATAACACCTAAAGAAATACGGGACGAACTTATAACCATTATTAGTGGTAAGAATTATATTTAAATTCTATAGCTGTAAAAAGTTTTAACAATGTTTTCAAACTAATTTTTTTAGTTAAAAATTTCGGTATTTCAATGATGTATTATTTAATACTTATGTCATTAAATACATCATCAAAAAAATTCACCTCATTCTCTTTAACGTCAAAAAATCACTGCTTTTTATCTAAGAATTTAAGCATGCTACATTTTAAAAAATATAAAGTATAATTTCCAAAATTGTAATAGAAATTCTACTAAATAACGTTATTTAAATGTACTTTATGTTTAAGCGGGACATGAAACAACTGCAAAATCAAATTCATTAATTATATTTATGCTGGCTCATCATCAAGATGTTCAACAAAATGTAATTTTTTCTGAAATAAACTACAATTCCATGTTTGTTTGAATATCAAATTCCCTATTTTTGACCCTAGGTATATCAAGAAATAAATTCAATATTTTCGGCTGGCGACTTTAACCGATCACCTACACACGAAGATTTACAGAAAATGGAATACTTAGAACGAGTAATCAAAGAAACTATGCGGCTTTGTTCAACTGTACCCTTAATTACCAGAAAAGTAGAAAACGAAATGATGATTGGAAAACACATAATCCCGGCAGGTAGAACCCATTAAGAAAAATATTTTTTCAATTTGTACAGCGAAATGTTAGTTAATTAATAGTTATCGAATATTATTATTTTACAGACACAATTCTTCTGATTTGTATTCAATGTTTGCATTTGAATCCCAAGTACTATAAGGATCCTGAACAATTTAATCCTGACAACTTCTTACCTGACGTGTGTCGCAATCGTCATCCTTTTGCGTACGTTCCTTTTAGTGGTGGCTCAAGGAACTGTATTGGAATGAAATACGCAATGCTTCAAGTGAAGACTACGATATCTACTCTTGTGAGGTCCTATCGTTTTTCACCGTCGGCAAAATGCCCTACGCCGAAGGATCTCAAATTATCTTTTACTATAGCAGTGGAATTTATCAATGGATGTTACGTTAAAATAGAACCGAGAACATAATAGCTTGTAAATTTAAATGTTTAGGTGGGTTTTATTTAATTAAAGTTTAATGAAATTGTTTAGTGTTCGATAATCAAATTAAAAAGAATTTTATCTAGTTATTAACAGAAAAATACTTAAAAAAACAAAATTCTACGTTATTAGGTAGATTTTTCATTCTTAGTGGATTATTTTGTTAATTACAAAAATTATTATACTTAATAAAATTAAAATGTATTTAACTTTGGTTTTCGAACACTAAAAAATTTCAGTAGTTTAGTTTTAAATATTGTATATTAGAGTATATTGTTAACGCAAGTCATTTTGTAATGCATTGATAATAATCATTACGATATTATGAGATTTATTATGTTGTCAAAATCATTATTATGTTTAAATTTCTTAAAAGGGTATACACTGGAATTAAAACAATTAAGTGTCATGGGCTAAAAATTGTTTAAGCGTACAAAAAAGCACTGGTGATCTTAATATTTTTTGTGTTTATTGTTATTGGTGTACCAAATCAAACTATTTCTACGATTTTTATTTATGATCAATTATAAAAATAATTCATATTATTTAATATTAAATCAAATATTGTCTATCTACTTGTTTTTTTGTCAGATAGTGTTTCTATTGTTGTGACTGGACAACGTGTAGATACAATTTCTATTGATATTAAAAAAAAAAAAGCTTGAATTAGTAAATCATGCTGTGCTTAATGATAAATTAAAAAATAACGAAGAAAAAAACATTTAAATTATGTGGTTTAATTCATAACTTTTAATCGGCATGAAATTAGGATAACTAATGTTAGTTCTTCTGGTATTCATGTCACCTCTGTATTCCTCTACATTGGTATAACTTGCACTACATGTATTCTTTGCCTCTTTAGGCCGTTTATTTATAAATAATTAAATTTTAAAAAATGAGTCAGAAGAAGAACTGAGTTTATTTAGTTTTCTTAAAACAGTTTTTCAAACGATTTCAAGCTCTACAAAACATATCAACAAAGACACTGTCTCCAAGTAAGGTTTATAATTAAAAAAAAAAAATTTATAAAATGTTAATCAATGCTGACAAAAATAACAAGCTTGTTACTTAAGGCTGTCTAAATTTTAACCAATATCTATATTGAGCTATTTAAAATGTCATTTATAATTTATCACATGTGCGGTATTCGCAATTAGGCACAAGTTCTTATGACACATAGTAGATAATTAAAAGAAAAAACGTATATAACAATAGGTCTAATGACATGCCCACTTGTCTCTGATTTTTGTCATTAAAACATAATATTGATATAACTAACACAAGTGTCAGTATAATGGATTAAATTAAGCAAAATATGAATTGGAAACTTTTAACTTATCATTTTTTTTATGGCTTGAATCAAATTAAATATATTTTAAATAATAACTATTTTAATACATCGCAGTAAGGAGAAAGACGGTAGAAATTATTTTAAGGCAATAAGACTTTCTTCGCCTAGACAGACACTTAGCATTTATAGCTATACATATATTTTGTAACAGGGACGAGCTTGCTGATTCAGGGTTAACTGATACAAAATATTAATCTTAGTGTTCATATGTGATAAACAATTTTATCAACTGATTACATTTTAAGAGGCATATAATTATTGTACTAAAAAATACAGTTTAATAACATATAAAATAAACATACACAATTGTGATTAATTTTTTTTTATTTACTTTAAGGTGTCATTCTTTTATATTTGATAATGTGTGTTTGTACACTAAATTAAAGTTAGTTTTCCATTTGAATTTTTATTTTAAAAATCACAAATTAGTGCATGTTTCCAGAATATAGCTAATGACTAGATGGATAAAAATAAAAAATTCAAACGATAACATATTTTAAAAAATTTTGCCCACAAATTTATGGAAATATAAACATATGTTGCCATTTGAAAACGTGAACTAAACCCTTTTTATCGTATAAGGGATGGAGATAAACATTTTCAAAGTATTGAAAAACATAGTAAAACATATATCAAAAAGAACAGGAAAAAATAATTTTCAAAATATTCATATTTCCGAGAAAATGGTGTCTTACGTTAGTTGGATGACCCTGTACAAATGATATCGATATGCGAGTTGGATCTATCGATATATGCTGTTTACGACAATATGCAAAAAAGTCAATTTTGAAAAAATTGTCGCTTACGCCCTTTTACCTTCTAACCATCGAAATGTTAAACGAATTTATAGTACTGTACATACTGTACAAAAGTTTTTGCTTTTTAAAGTTTATGTTCGTGCTGTTTATTGAAGCATTTTTTTAGAATATTCAAGTCAGACAATCAGAATATAATTTAAAATGTATTATATTTTATACACATTCACTATTTTGTAGTTTTTTAAAAATTAATAATTCTAATGGAATAACTCTCTTTAATTTAGTGTATAAAGTACAAACACACAATAACAAATGAAAAAGCATTACACCTTTAAGTTATTTAAAAATAATAAACATAACAATTTTATATGTATTATTCTTTTTAAAATTTGAGATTTTTTTACGACTTTATAGGTCGCCTTACGCCTTTACGTCTTTACTGAATGTAATGTACTTAAACATGTGAGGTCAGCCTGCTGTAACTTTCGCTGTTCTCTAGTTGATAGATTATCAACACAGTAGGTGAAAGAAAAAAAAATTTCTTGGGCCATAATAGGAAGTGGTGTTAACACCGCGGCTCAACCACCAACGAGATTCCTAAAGGCGCGACTGCTCGGAAGTTAAGTGGTTGAAAACTAGTTTTGGATAATTATTTTTTAAGTTATTTAAGTGTCTGGAGGAAGGGTGGAATATTGAGTTATTTTTAGCTAAGCACAAAAAAACAGTAAATTTAAATACTTTAACCTTTAATATAACTACCTTTACAAAATAAAATGAATGCATTTAATTTGTTAATGATGCCTCATCATAAGAATAACTACGTATTATAATAGGTAATTATAATAGTAAGTATATAGTTGTGTTATTCAAAAAGTATGAGTAATTTTTGTCTGTAATCTAAAAATTATAATAATATAATTATAATAATCATTAATTTTTTATTTAAAATAGTTTTGATGTAATTATAATAAGAATTGTGTTAATATGTTTAAATTATATCGTGGAAAGCTTAATAGTCATTGAAGTGGTTTTTTCACAACAGTATTAACAACAATAGATTATTATACCTAGAGTCTTTCAAAGTACTTATGTAAAAAAAAAAAATATAAAAACGAGAAATTTTTTTTTTTTTAAATTATTGCCATGCAATAATTTAAAGTGAATAAATGAATGTTAAAATTAGTGTAAACCCAAATTAATAACCAGGGTTTATAATGTAATCGGTAATAAAAATTGTACTCGACAGAAAAAAAAACGTAACATAATAAGGTACTAAAAATTAAATTTAAATAAAAACATATATAAAGAAGTATATAAATCTAAATTAGAATATCAAAAATTTACTATTTGTGTTTAAAACTTACACACTGTACAACTATATAATTTCATCAGCACCGAAAACATGGTTTTCGTATTTCAAAAAGTAAGTTTTACTACCAAAACTAAATACACTTAATGTTTAGTACTTTATGTAGTTAACCATAACTAATTACAAGACACTAATGTTGGCATTAAAATATACCACCTGTAAATATTTAAAAATCCTGATTTTTTTACAGTGTTTTATCGTCTCAAATAATAAAGCATTAATATTATTTAAGTATTAAAGTTTAAACTTAAAACGGGCAGAAACATTATTATTTCCTTTAAGCAATAATCAACAAAACTCCACTTATTATTCAAAATGTTTAAATTATAACAATCATTTCATGCCTTAGAAATTTTCTTAAAATATACATAATGATAAAATATTTAACTTTTGTATTGTATTGTTGAATGTTGAATTATTTATATCTGAGATAGATAGATAAAAATTAAATATAGTATACTTTATTCTGGGTTTTTTGTTTACTTTGATAGTCAATTAACAACCTGTAAAGCATAACATAAAAATGAAAATAAAACATTACTCCTTGTGTAAAACAAGTCAATATCTGAAAAGAGATCCATTGATTAATCTTTACTGTTTTCTTCAGGTTTACGATCAAGTTTATCAATAGACATTGGAGTTGTTTACCGATGCAGTTATATTTTGCGTTTGTAAGACATTAATGTTTTTATGAGTTTTTAGTGATTTAGTCAAGTTTCTCCAAATTTTTTTTTTTTACTACTTCTGGTCCAACAAATTAAGCAGTTCACCCCTTCTCCTTGAGAATTGATAATAAACGTCTATTAAAAAAAGTTTATTAAAAGCCAATATACCA